CTCGGTGTCTTTTGGTGGCACTAGTGTGGTCACTTGCAAGAACCAGCTTCAGACCGCCCCCCACCGCGGCACCGTTTGCAACCGTCCTGGTGACACCGCCGCCCGCTGCTACCGCCGCCTCGAGGACCTCTTCCGTCTCCGCTTCGGCCCCGCGTCGGACCCCCCCGACTTGTACAGCCTGGTGCGTTACCGTGTGCGTGTCTTTGAGCTGGATATGGATTTGAATAGGTCTGCTATGTTTGTCATGTATATTGATGACTCTAGTGTGACTGGACCCTATTACACTGTGTTGCCTAGTGTAGGTGTATCCACTAAGTGTAGCCTAGGTTCCCCTACTGCTTCTGGCGTAGAACCACCTGCCTTGTTCAGCCTCGGCTCCACTCTAGCTCCTCCGTCTTCGAATACCACCACCACGTTCTCTTTTACGCTAGACTCGGTTGCGTCTGTCTGGTTCTTTCACGACCACACTGCGCTCCCGTCGCTTGCCGCCCCTGCCGCTGTAGTGCTTGCTGACCCCTCCTCGTGTCCAGTAGTTGCACGTAGCTCCACCACCCTTCCATGGCCGGCAGTTCCCTCGAGCTCCCTTACAGTTCCTAGTTGGTGTCGGCTGTCTTTAGGACTTCGGCGTCACCACTACGTTTCCTGGATACGAGCGGTACACAGTCTGCACCGAGACCGCCACTGGTGCCCCTCTCACGACATTCCCCTGAGATACGGTGTCTGACCTGTTCACTCTAGACACTGTGTCCCCCCCGGTGGGAGCGTCCCCTCAGGTGGTCGCGCCCTCCCAGGTCGTTGCGGTTTGCTCATGTCGGACTTTCACCCACTCGTCGTAGCTGTGGCACCACTGCTTAGGTTATCCCACGCTCCCACATCTGCATCACATGTCCCAGCACGGTCTTGTCCTAGGTCTCCCTGCGTCACTCCCTGCCCTCCCTCCCTCGCCTGCGCCAACGCGCACGCCCTCCATCGAGGGCCAGCTACGCCGTACCCCTCACTCCTCCTTGCTTCCCCCGTCCACTGCGCCACTCCAAACCCTGCACCTGGACGTCTGGGGCCCAGCCCCCATCCCTGGGCTGCGTCAAGAGCGCTACTTTCTGGTGCTCGTCCACGACTACATGCACTATACCACGGTGTTTCCTCTAGAGCTGAAGGCCGACGTGCCTGACGTCCTTATCTTGTGGGTCGTAGCTGCGCGAGTCCACTTTGGCCTCCCTGTGCTGCGACTTCACTCTGACTGTGGCGGCGAGTTTGCCTCCAGTCGGCTCGGCCAGTTCTATCGTGCAGAGGGCATCACCCAGCCGTACACACTGTTGGACTCCCCACAGTAGAATGGGGTCGTTGAGCGACGCATCGGTTTAATCATGGAGGTGGCTCGTACCTCCATCATCCATGCCGGTGCACCCTATTTTTTGTGGCCGTTCGCTGTTCGCTACGCCGCTCACCAGCTGAACATGTGGCCACACCCCCAGCGGCAGAAGGTTTCGCCGACCGGGTCCCCTGGTGACGCGTTCCACATCTATAGCTGCCTTGCTCAGGTCCGTGCCTCTGGCACGGACAAGCTCACTGCCCGCACTGTCCCCTGTGACTTCCTTGGATTCCCCCTAGTCGCGTCTGACTGGCACTTTTACCGCCCGCCGTTTTACCGTTTCTTTCACTCTCGCGAAGTCAGTATTGACGAGTCCGTCTCCTTCTATACTCGGTTTCCTCACCGAGGTCTCCCGGTTGCACCGCCCCTGTTCCTAGTCCCCACTCCCCCGCTAGCCTCTGCTCCTCTCCCTCCCGTCCTGCCCCGTCTGGTGTGTCTCATGTCACTCCCCTTCCGCCGGTCGTCCCGGTGGAGGAGTTGGCTGACTCTGGGGGCCCTGCGGCTCTGGGTTCGCCGCCTGTCTCCGCCCCGCTTGCTCTTTCTCCGCCATCGCAGCTGCAGTCTTCATCGCCGCTGCAGCAGCCGCCGCCACAGCAGCAGCAGCCGCCGCCGCTGCAGGGATTTGAGAGCTCTGGGGGTGCGGGCGTTGAGGAGGGTGCTGGTTCTGAGGGTGCTGGTTTTGGGGGTGCTCGTCCTGGGGGTACTGCCGTGGCTTGTCCCGGTGGTCCAGGGGGTGGCGCGGGTGCTGGAGAGGTTTCTCGTTCTAGGGGTGTTGGCGTGGAACATCGCGGAGATAGACGTTGATCTGCTGGAGGTTCTGGTGTCGGCGTGGAGCAGCAGCAGCAGCAAACGCCGCCGGTGTCCGCCCTTCGCCTCCTCAGTCTTCCTTCCCCTGACCACCCGCCTGCGCTTCCCCCACCACCGCCTCCCCCGCCTGTCTACGGCCATGTGTTTTCTCCTTCGGACTCGTCCCCGACTCGTTTCCCCCCTCTTTTTCCTCCTGTGTCTCCTCCCTCGTCTCCTCACCCGACCCCCCCCTCCCGCTTGTGGCCTCACCGTGCCTCTCGTGCTCGTCCTGTCTCCCCTGTTCAGCGCTCTCACCCTATGCTGCTCCGTTCTCACGCATCTCGTGCTCCCCTTTTACCATAGCCTCCTCAGTCGTCGCCTGTTGTTTCCCCTCCACCTCTCTCTGACTTCCTCTGTACTGTTAGTCCGCTTGTCCCTCACGTTCTCGCTTCTCTTGTTACCGACCCGTCCGTTCCTATCTCCAGTTTTGACGCTCTTGTCGCTACCGTCATTGACTTTGCCTCTACCCGCTGCCTTGACTACGTCACCGCTCTTGATTCTGACCCTGCCCGTCCTCCGTCCGTCGGGGGTGCACCTGCCCTTGGCACTGACATTCTAGAGGACAGGCAGTATGAGCTCGCTTTCCTGTCCGAGGCCGCTCCTCATCTCTGCTCCATGCTGCTAGTCCTGGAATGTGACCCAGACGCCCTTAACATCCCGACCCCTCGCACTTACGCTGACGCAACCTCCGGACCCTGGGCCTCTCAGCGAATAGCTGCCATGGACACGGAGATGGCATCTTGAAAATCCACCGTCACCTATGTCGACGCAGTTCCTCCACGTGGAGTGAACGTAGTCGATGGCCGGTGGCTCTTCAAGGTGAAGCGCCCTCCTGGAGAGCCGCCGGTGTTCAAGGCGCGCTACGTTGCTAGATGCTTCAGTCAGTGCGAGGGTGTTGACTTCTTTCAGACCTTCGCCCCGACCCTGAAGATTACCACTCTTTGGACGCTGCTATACGTAGCAGCACACCGTGACTACGAGCTGCACTCCCTCCAATTCTCCACAGCGTTTCTTCAGGGCAGTCTGCACAAGCAGGTCTACCTGCGCCGTCCGCCCGGCTTCACTGGCTCCTTCGCCCCTGGTACCGAGTGGCTCCTTTGGCGCCCGGTTTACGGCCTGCGGCAGGCGCCCTATGAGTGGCACGACACGCTGCGTGCTACGTTAGCAGACCTGCAGTTCTTCCCGTCCTCTGCAGACCCCTCGCTCTTGGTTCGTTCTGGCCACACACCATTCTACATCCTTGTCTACGTAGATGACCTGGTCTTTGCTACTGCAGACAGAGACGCACTGGCCTCCGTGCCGAGCTGCTGAGAAAACACACTTGCATTGACCTAGAAGAGCTGCGTTGCTACCTTGGCCTGCAGATCTCCACGGACAGGGAATTGCACACCATCACTCTTACACAGTCACACTTGGTGCGCCAGGTCCTTCAGAGGTTCGGTCTTCAGTTCTCCTCTACAAAGCCCACACCTCTACTAGTAGATCACAGACTCTCTGCTCCTGTTCCTGAGGAGTCAGTAGAGCCTAGTGGTCCTTACGCAGAGCTCGTGGGTTGCCTCATGTACCTGATGACTTGCACTCGTCCAGATCTCGCATACCCTCTCAGCATCCTGGCTTACTTTGTGGCCACAGGCAGACACCGACCACATCACTGGTCGGCAGCTAAGAGGGTTTTGCGTTATCTAGCAAGTACATCAGGCATGGGGCTAGTGCTAGGAGGGCACAGGCCAGTGGTCCTTACTGGGCACACAAACACTTCGTGGGCGGACGACGCTGAGACCCTCAGGTCCTCCGAGGGCTACTACTAAAGCCTTGGTGCAGGCGCCATCTCGTAGAGGTCCACCGGCTCGTCGTCTGTTGCCCAGTCTAGCTGTGAGGCTGAGATCTACGTTGGTGCCATGGCGGCACAGGAGCTCCGCTAGTCACAGATGTAGATGAGCAGCCTAGCTCCACCCCGGTCGTGTACGCTAACAACATGGCCATGATCCTCCTGTGTCAGGAGCCTCGACTGGAGGGCAGAGCGAAGCACATCTTGCTGCGGTACTTCCTCCTGCGCAAGCTACAGCTGCGCCGCCTGGCCCGCGTAGTTCACTTGGACTCCGGTGCCAACACAACTGATATCTTTATGAAGGCGCTTACGCCTAAAGATCATCAGCGGCACTGTGTACAGCTTGGTCTAGTTCCTGTAGTTTCTCACTTGCTAGGACCTTGATGGTGTACTGTATCTTATATTACCTTGACTGGCCTTGTGGCTCCTGTTCTAGTTGTTGGACTAGTAGTGTCACCCTGAGTTGCATGTCTCTTGCTAGTCGTTGCCCCTTGTCTAGCCTAGGGGGTGTGTCAACATATATTTGTATATGTTATGGGCTAGATAGGTGCATGCTCATAGAGAGTACAACTCAAGACAAAACCACCCTGTATCACTCATTCTAGTTCATTGTGTTATTCTGAGAAAAACCTCTCCTAATAGTACTCTCTAAGAGCATGCACATATCGAGCCTATAAGAACATCTGCATTTATGTTTGACACTTCTCACCCGCTGCTTTTGTTTAGGGTGGGATAACTGTCGACCATGGTTGCATTTTCTTTGGTAGGGGGTATTACCATCCCATCCTTTCCAATGCCACAGGAGGCAGACCACAGCGTGTATATGCTTTCTGTGTGCCACACGGAGTTTAATGAGGCTGCTTTAGTGCGAGTTGCTGAATCTGCTTATCCATAAACATTTTTAGATGTGTGTTTTTGTCCTTGTGCATATATTGGCATGGTTGGTTGGCCTGTGTGTGGTGGGCTGGGCTCTCTAGAAATTTCCTCTACCTTTGAATTATGCATTAAAAGCCCAACACTTTGACTCCTAAGGCCTGACCAACTACATACGATACCCCGTGTTTGCTCACTACACATCCACATCCATACATGTAAGCACCTGCAATCTCTATTCGTGCATAAGCTTCATAATCGCCTCGCCAAAGATAGGGGACACATCCAAAATGCGAAACTTGCTGGGCTTCGCCCCAGTGACAGATGGATGCTGCATCCCATGATGGGGGGAAGAGGGGGGGGGGGGAGGGGAGGGGGGAGGCGGGGGGATGAGGGGGGACGGTGGTGTTGAGGGGAGGAGGGGAAGGGAGGTGTGGTGGACGGGGAGAATGTGAGGCAATCAGAATTGTCAGAGTTGATATCAACATGTTAATAGTGACTACGTTAATACACCAATTATGCAGACATGCATCATAACATGCATGCTATCAAGCATTCTGTTATGCACGATGCCACACTAGAATGCCCCATATCATGCAGCAAGCATGCACTGTAACATGCTCCTGGGGTGAATGTTAGTGGGGATGATGACACTGATGCAGCTCTCGTCTAACACATGAGTGTACTCAACCCATATCATCCGTGAGCCATATTATCCATCATGCAATCACCCTACGCAGTTCAAATCACAAATACATGCGAGTGCGCATGCATCATGCCATGCATCATGCCATGCATCATACCATGCATCATACCATGCATCATACCATGCATCATGCCATGCATCATGCCATGCATCATACCATGCATCATGCCATGCAATAATGCCATACATCATACCATGCATCATACCATGCATCATGCCATGCATCATGCCATGCAAAAATGCCATCCATCATACCATGCATCATACCATGCATCATACCATGCATCATGCCATGCATCATACCATGCATCATACCATGCATCATACTGTGCATCATGCCATGCACCCTACCATGCTCATGGGGTGGCTGTTAGTGGAGATGATGACACTGATGCAGCTCTCTTCTAGCATGCGGATCACCTCCTCTGACGCCAGGGCGAAGTGACTGTGTTGGGATGGGAGGGGGTCAGAAACAGAGAGAAGTACCAAGAGCAAGCATGGAGCTTGGTTCCAACATGCGGATCACCTCCTCTGACGCCAGGGCGAAGTGATGGGGAGTGGATGGTGGGGAGAGGGCAGGAGTAAGAGAAGGGGACAATGAGCTTTGAATTGAAAGAGGTAATTAGAACCAGGGGACATGGACACCACACGGCACGATATGGCATGGCACGGCATGACATTTAGAATCACATGACACATCGTGGGATGGAATAGCATGGCATGGCAACACATGGCATGGCACGGCATGGCATGGCATGGCAAGTCACGGCATGTCATGGCATGAATGTACCTGAGAACCGCACTGACTTGACTGGCCCCTTTAGCCATGTATGCATCTGCTGCCTTCACCAGTGTGCCTGATGCACAGAAGATAGGGGCGAGGATGAGAGAAATGGTAGTGAGGGAAAGGAAGGGTAAGGAAAGGAAGCAGACAAGAGGGAGAGGGGGACTAGCCATGCATGCATCTGCTGCCCTCACCAGCGTGACTGATGCATTTTGGAGGGGAGGAGGAGAGGAACTGTAGTGAGGGAAAGGGAGGGGCTTGTGTGAGAAGGCAACAGGGTAAGGAGGATGAACCATGCGTCTCCCGCCTTCAACCAGTGTGCCTGATGGACCAAGGAGAGAGGGGAGGAGGAGAGAAATGGTGGTGGGAAAAAAAAGGAAAGGGAAGGAAAGGAAGCTGACAAGAGGGAGAGGAGGATTATGCATGCATGCATCTGCTGCCTTCACAGTGTGCCTGATGAGCAGAAGAGAGAGGGGAGGAGGAGGGGGGGGGGGGGGGAGGGGGAGGGGGTGGAGGGGTTGTGAACAGACATGAGAGAGGTTGGTGGCTGTGGCGCGGATAAAGAAGCACAGATTGCTGACCCAGCAGCGAGCCACTTGAGAGGAAATGACTTTTGATTCGACTCAAAGGGGGGTGTGAACAGACATGAGGGAGGGAGGTCGGTGGCTGTGGGCGGATGTAAAAGCACAGACTGCATACCCAGCACGGCACGACAGACAGCAGTGACCATCTTCAGAGGGGAGGTTTGTGCGTTGCATCTAAATGCTTCTCCATGCGCTATGCCATCGTATACAGTCACAATGTGACAGTCACACTAATCACCTTCTCCGCATGTCATGCTATTGTATATAATCACATCACGTACCTCCTGCTCCTGTGTGTGTTATGTGACAGCGTATTGTCATATCACTACCTCAAGTGCAATTCACGTCGTTACATATAATCACACTAATTGATTACCTCCTGTGCCCATCACACAAATTTGCATGCTTACCTCCTGTGCATCTCATGCCATCGTATACAATCACACATCTCACCTCCTGTGCGTGTCATGTCATCGTATACAATCACAGACATTACCTCCGGTGCGTGACATGTTGTCGTATACAATCACATTCATTACCTCCGGTGCGTGTCATGTCGTCGTATACAATCACATTCATTACCTCCGGTGCGTGTCATGTCGTCGTATATGATCACATGCTTGCCTGTAACCTCGCCCACCACTCCCAGCACCTGCCGGCAATGAATGGTAGAGCCACAATCAAGTGGATGGAACCAGGATTTGATCGGGTGGATTCGCATGTGATAACGAGAGAGGGAAAGGGAAAAAGGGGGGGGGAGAGGGGGTGTTGGGGGGTGGAAGTGGAGGAGTCAGGGGATATGCAATAAATGATTATTACATCGAGAGGAAGGAACTGCAATATGGATAGTGCAAGGAATGTGTGACAAAACAGGGATGGGTAAGAAAAGGGGTGTCATTCCAGTCTCCTGCATGTGAACCCTGCTTCCTACTTGCACAGAGCTTGAAAGTTATTAAAAAAAAAAAAGATTTAAACGGCACATGTATCTGTGTAGATTTAAAGTTATTGCATTGTGTAGATTTTAAGTCAACAATGTCTCTTGCATGTGTCTGAATTTTCTCACAAACGCCACATGTGTCGTTGGAAAGCCGAGTGGCATCACCGTATCATGGGGCAAAGGGTGCTTCTCATTTTCACCAAGGCCCCTTGCATGTGTCTGAACTTCCTCACAAGCGCCACATCCACGTGGACTTGTGGTGACGCCTCCATGTGAGAGGAGTCTATTTTTGAGGCGCCTCAAAGATAGTCTCCTCACCAGGCGCTCAAAGGAGAGTCTATTTTTGAGGCGCCTCAAAAATAGACTCCTTGCGATGACGCCTCCATGTGTCTATGGTTTACACGCCTCTTGCTTGCATGTGTCCGGGACCGTGCTTGGGCTGTTCACAGATTCACTCACTGCCGTCTCCTGCATGTTTGTGGACTTGCGCGCAAACGCCACGGCCATGTCGACGCAAAGGTCAAAGGGCGCTTCTCACCAAGGCCCCTTGCATGTGTCCGTGCTTGGGCTGTTTATAGATTCACTCACCGCGGTCCCCTGCAAGTTTGTGGACTTGCGCGCAAACGCCACGCTACGTTGAACTCGCAGCAATCGTGCTTTGCGATGTCTCTTGCTTGCACGTGTCTGGGCTTGGTATGTCTACTCTACACTCACCGACGTATCCTGCATGTGTCTGGACTTACGCACAAACGCCACATCCACGTTGAACTTGCTGTAATTGAGCTTCCAAGGTGGTTAAAGGAATGAGTGGGCAAGGGGCACTCACCGACGTCTCCTGCATGTGTCTGGACTTCCTCACAAACGCCACATCCACGTTGAACTTGCGGGCAAAGCTCTCCACCTGATGGGATGGGGTGCGGTGGGATGGGATGGGTTGGGTTGGGTTGGGATGGGATGGGATGGGATGGGATGGGACGGTTTTCGAGGCGCCTAAAAAAACAGAACATGCCTGCAAAGCTCTCCACCTGATGTGATGCAAGTCACGCGCGCACACACACACAGTGATAATTAAACAGTGCATTCGCACACTTGAGATCAGTAGTTGTGTTGTGCACATCCGCTCCGCGCAGCCATGATCTCGCCCAAGGACAATCACACTCGATCATATTACGCATCACTCTATACAGCCCATACCATGTCACCCAGGCCAATGCCACCCAGGCCAATGCCACCCAGGCCATGCCACGACCATGCATGCATGCGCCCCAAAGGTCACCTTGGGGCGCATGCTTGCATGTAATGGCCTGCATAGGGTGATGTGTAATATAGGTGACTTTTGAGTTGACTCAAAAGTCACCTATATTACACATCGCCCAACGCAGGCCATAACATGTCATCCCATGACCTCCCAGACCATGCTAACACCATGCATGCATGCACCCCATCCCGCCACCCACCCACAGTGGACGGCCGAGATCAGCCGAGGCGAACATGAATGGCTGCGATAGGTCCAGATGCGCCTTGATGCCCTCCAGCAGCGCCTGCTCTGCGTACAGCTCCATGCGGGTCTGGGGGGAAGGGGGACGGGTAGGGTTTTGGGGGGGGGGGATGTTGAGGGAAACAGAAGGTGGAGGATGGTGTCAGATGCGTCTTAATACCCTCCACCAGCACCTGCTCCGCATACAGCTCCATGAGGGTCTGGCAGTGGGGAGGTGGGAGGTGGGGGGTTGTGGAGGTGGGAAGGTGGGAGGGGAGGCGGAGGAATGGGATGTGGTTGGTACCAAGAACCCTAGGCCCTCAGCCTAGCCTCCAGCAGCGCCTGCTCGGAGCACAGCTTAATGTCAGTTTGGTGGGCACAGGGGAGGTTGTGGGGGCGGGGAGGAGGGGGAGGAAGGGGGGGGGGGGGGAATGTGGTACCACGAACACTAGGCTCTTAATCTTTGAACCTCCAGCAGCGCCTGCCGTGCGCACAGCTCCACCATGCCAGTCTGGTGGGCTGGGCAGGAGGTTGTGGGGGCGGGTGGAGAGGAGGGGAGGGGAGGGGAGGGGGGGTCGTACCGTGAACCGGCCCTTAGCCTTTGAACCTCCAGCAGCGCCTGCCCTGCCCTGCGCACAGCTCCACCAAGCCAGCCTGGTGGTTTGGGGGCGGGAGACGGGGGGAAAGGGGTTGGGAAGGGGGAAGGGGGTTGGGGAATTGTGGGTTTGGGGTGGGTCGGGGCAGAAGAATGGGAGTGGTACCCGTAGTTAACACCCTCCTGCAGTGCCTTGAGGTAAGTTGATTCTTGAGAATTCTCAAAAAGCAAGTTACCTCGCTGAGGAATGGGAAGTGGTACCCGTAGAAAATACCCTCCCGCAGTGCCTCGGCTAACAGGGGCCCCTAGTGCTTGGCACGCTAGAGGAACGTTTGTCATTCTGCTCCAACTCACGCAGGACCCTTCCAGGTACGGCAGCAGCGATTGCACGTGCCCAGCTTGGCCAACAAGGGCGGCACAGCACAGACCAAAAGACTTGCACAGTACACGAGCGGTTTCTCGCTGTGCTCCACTCACACAGGGCCCTTCAAGGTACTGCAGCAGCGACTGCACGTGCAGGTCCATGAAGAGGAAGATGTTGCCCAGCTTGCTGTTGGGGATGCTGCTCAGGATGCGCGCATTCACCTTGGAGGTTATCACCTCCCCCGGTAACACCTGCCGCTCCATTGTGCTGTCAGTCAGGAATTGGCATGCATAAACCAGGGAAAGGGGGGAGTGAGGGAAGCGGGAAAGGAGGGAGAGAGTAGGGTAGTAAGGGGAGGAGTGGGGTAAGGGGAAGGAAGATATTGCCCAGTTTGCTGTTGGGAATGCTGCTCAGGATGCGTGCATTCACTTTGGAGGTAATCACCTCCTCCGGTAACACCTGCCGCTCCATAGTGCTGGCACAGAGTGGTGGTGGTGAGAGGGGGTGGTGGGGTGGGGGCAGACATGGGCAAAATGCGATTGCGATTTAAATCGCATCGCATTGGGGGGCAATTTAATTAAATGCGATGCGATTTTAAAGCGAGGGTCTCAAGAAACAAAAAACCAAACCCAAAGGTTTTGGTTTCGGGGGGTCTCCAAAATTGCGAGGTGTGGTAAGGGGTGCTGGTTGGGCGCTGTAACTGTTTCGCAAAGTTCGTCAACCCAAAACCAAAACCTTTGGATTTGGTTTTCTGCTTCTTGAGACCCTCGCTTTAAATCGCATCGCGCGATTCAATTTCTGGAAAAAAAATCAATCGCACATCGCGTTTTGCGCGCGATGAATATTAAAACCGCATGCGGTATTTAATTAAATCGCGCGATGCGATTTTAAATCGCATCGCGTTTTAAAACAGAATAAAAAAATACCCCAAAAAACCAGAAAAAAACCATGGCTGCCGGGAAATTGAATCACGGGCAGCCGTAAGCTAGAGTGCAAATAACTAGTGTGGTTTCGTAGTGGGTTTCAGTGCAACATCGCGCGCGATATTTTAAAAATCGCATATCGCATTTAAATCGCGTTTTTTAGCGCGATTAAAATGCGATTAAAATTAAATCGCGCGATGATAAAAAAAAAAAAAAAAAAAAAAAAAAATCGCCATCGCAAAAACGCGATTAAATGCGATGCGATGCGATTTTTTTTGCCCATGTCTAGGAGGAGGAAGCGGGGTTAATACGAATAATCCTCCGGCTCACAGTGCTTTTATTAAATTCAATGATTACCAACTCACCAGGTGACACCCATGGTTCCATTAAGCAGGGAACATCACTGCAAGCAACCACGTCACGGATCAAACGATTCCACGCAGCCAGCCAAGCAACGCAAGCACTCTGTCTGTCCATACCTGTGGCCGAGGCATAGTATAAGACTGTACCTGTAGCCAAGGCATGGCATTGAACCGTACCTGTCGCCGAGGCATGGCATTGAACCGTACCTGTAGCCGAGGCATGGCATTGAACCGTACCTGTAGCCGAGGCATGGCATTGAACCGTACCTGTAGCCGAGGCATGGCATTGAACCGTACCTGTAGCCAAGGCATGGCTTTGAACCCTGCCTGTAGCCGAGGCATGGCATTGAACCGTACCTGTAGCCGAGGCATGGCATTGAACCGTACCTGTAGCCGAGGAACGGGATGACGAAGATGCGGCGCCGGCTGCCGTAAGCAGCGAAGGCGCACCCCAGACGCACCAACTCCAAGAGATCATCGTCCGTGTGGGTGGCCGCTACAAAGATAACGTCCTGCCCCACCAGCTGGTAGTTCTCGTCCATGAGCACTCGCAGGTACTGCACGGGGAGAGATGTTGAAAATAGCAACTCTCAAGACGGTCATGCACGGGTATCACGTGCTGCCCCACCAGCTGGCTCTTGTCGTCCATGAGCACTCGCAGGTACTGCAACGAGGGGGAGAGCGGGCGGATGGGTATGCTGAAACCCCCAGCCGCACCAACTCCAGAAGGTCATCGTCCGTGTGCACGGCTCCTATGAACATCACGTCCTGCCCCACCAGCTGATACTTGTCGTCCATTAATACACGCAGGGGGATAAGGGGACGGGGGGGGGAAGGGGGGAGAGGAGGTTGAGACCTGGGGATGAGGATCTTACATTTGGCCGCCACGAATATCACGTCCTGCCCCACCAGCTGGCACTTCTCGTCCATTAAAACGCGCAGGTACTGCAAAGGGAGAGGAGAGGGGGGGTAGGGGGGGGTCTTGAAGCCCCTCAAGGCACTGCAGACCATCGTCCATGTGGGTGGCCGTGGCCGCCACAAATATCACGCCTGGCCGACCAGCTGGCGCTTCTATTCAACCAATCAGCACTCGGAAAGGCAAACCCTCCATGTTGACTCAGTCCCTAGCCCTCAACCTCAAACCCCAGAAACCCTGAACCTGGACTCAATTCCCTGCCCTGAACTATAAACTAGAGATTATTGATCTGGTCTCAGTCCCCCGACCCGATAGGCAGGCAAATCAGCGTGTAAGTGGGCTAGGAGGGAGGTGGAGAGCAGGGGGTGTGAAGTGCGAGTGGCCTTTTGATATGCCTCAAAAGAAGTCGGTTTTCTAGGAGAAAAAAATAACCACCTCACTTACACTGCATTACTCTCCAGTACCCGCGCGCCTCGCTCGGGTGCACCACTGTGGTTCAACTCATCGACAGGAATCTATGCTAAATGCTCCCGTCTACTACTCTAGCTGTGACCTTCCAGCTGTGAGCCAAGGGAACCCTTCCAGCGCCTCGAGTTGACACACCACTACATTAACCGACGAGGACGAGGAAAACGGATAAAACCTAGGCACTAGAATCACCTCTCCTCCTCCTTTGAACTGCTTCCGGATGACCGTCTCGCGTTCGAGGCTCAGGTGCTGCGCGATGAGGTCCGCCAGTACCCGCTCGTCTCGCTCGAGTACACCACGTAGTTCGACTCATGGTCACCACTGAATAGCGAACTACCCTACCCTACCTGACTCCACCTACGCGCTCTACCTACGCGCTCGTTAGTAAGTGCGTTGACCGAGCGCGTCGAATCGAGTCAGGACTGCGTTACCCAGTAAGAGGGAAAAATCACAGCATTCTTAATCACCTTTTCGCCTCCTTTGAACTGTTTCCGGATGACCGCCCCGCGTTCGAGGCTCAGGTGCTGCGCGATCAAATCCGCCAGGTACCCGCTCGCCTCGCTCGAGTACACCACGTAGTTCGACGCGCACGTGGTGGTTCCGTGGTTCTCGCTTCGGCACATTAAAGATGTCGTGTTCTTCACCGCGTCGATCGCGGGCGACGCGCCGTCCGCTATCGCGCCGTCTGTGCCGGCGGTACTCATGGCTGTCGCGAGAACGTGAGAGGTGACGGTTGAGAAAGTAGGCGACTGGGTTACGAGAAGAAACGTGCAAAGGAGGAATAAGCGCGCGAGCGTTAATCCGTAGTGTCTGCGTGGCGGAGGCGTAAGCGAAAGGTATCTGGGTCTGACTGGCCACAGCATCTAAAACCAAGGGAAGAGCAATAGCACAGCGAAGAGCTAAAACCAAGAAAGTCTGGAAAAGGAAGTTCCGAGGTTCAGCCTTGGGGTTCTGGAAATTTAGGGCATGTCACATTTTTTACGAACACGCCTCAGGGTCGACCACTCAGAGCGGTTGAAAGCGTTATGATGTGATATACTACGCTGTATACTAAAAAAGACGTGGTACAGTGCAGTTAAAGTTGGGTTCGGATGCTCTTTGTGAAAATGTGACACGCCCTATCGTCTGGCATGCAGGGCCAAGGGGCCGCAAATTCCTCCAATCGTAACGGCGACGTAGAACTTGGGGTGACAAATCCCCGATGGACAGATCGCACCCATCCCTCAGCTGGCAGTGTGCTTGGATGTCCGCGATAAAGGACGAACATTGTCCTTAATCTTTATTGGAAACACGTTCAAATCATCAAACCCACTTCAGTCGTGAGTAAATTATAACCCAATTGTCATGCTACTCTAGTATCAAATGTATGTGGAGTCTTCCTCCTCGAGAGAGGACTTCAGCAGAATTTGCTGCAACAGAAAAGCCACAAGAATCAACAGCAAAAAAAAAAAAAAAAAAAAAAAAACACACAAAAAAATCAAGGCGGTAGGGAGGATGGGCAGCATTGGATCGAGAAGGCCGGGATGAGGTGGCAGGCAGTGCTGAAAGAACAAGAATACTGGTGCATTTATAGAAGCAAAGGAATCAACAGATGCATCATACGAACAATGCACCTGTGTGCACGCGAGAGTGTATCGTATGTCTTCTGCTGTGATGTGGTAATGCGTGACCATTCTGATCCTGTAAGGAAAAGAACGGAGGCAACGGGCACGAAAGCAAGCAGGCGGGGACGCCAGAAAGCTAGGTGAACGAACAGTAGGACAAAGTTGCATATTGAAAATCAGTTGTTGCTCTAGTTCTACAAAATCAGTTATCAACTCTGGCATCAGTGCGATGATAAAACCCACTTGTTATTACTGCGCAGGGTTGTCAGAACGCCAGCCTGCCGCAGAGCATTGCACAGCTCCTCTGCACCTATGGGGCAATCACCCTTCACGTCCATGGTCACCTGGCAGAAAACAAAAGGGAATGTTGGACAGAGCTTTGGAATTCTAATATTGGGTCTTCTACACCTACGGGGCAATCGCCCTTCACGCCCATCCATGCTCACCTGGTAGAAAACATAAGGGAATTCGAGCAGCTATGGTTGGAATTTGAGCAGCTTTAGGATTCTAACCATAGCTCATCTGCTCCTATGGGTCAGTCACTCCTCACGCCCATGTTCGCCTGAGAGACGCGAGGAGTGGATTGGACATGTTATTTTATTCTACAGCTATTAAAGTAAGGCATGACACGAGGCCAGCACAAAGAAATCGAAAAGGTTTTTTGCACTCTTCAAAGGCACCTTCAAATCCATTAAATTCCACCTTTGATATTCACTCACTATGTTAGTGTCAACCGTACTAACGTCCACCGCTAGGCCATCAAGTGTATCCAAGCCCTCTGAACAGGCAAAAGGGATAGAGTGGGAGAGGAAGAAGGAAAGGGGGGGGGGGGGGAGGAAAAGAGGGGAAGAGGGGTGAAAAGAATGGGAGGGAGAAAAAGTGAGCGGATGGAGATGGTAAGGCAAGGGATGGGTTGAAAAAAGGAAGCTGACATGGCAGAGGACAGGGAGAGGTTGACAGGAAAGGAGGAGATGGAGGGATGAAGGAAAAGCGAGGGATGAATTGGACTGAGAAAGCTGACATGGCAGAGGGTAGGGAGAGGTTGACGGGAAGAGGAGAGGAGGGATGAGGGCAACGCGAGGGATGAGATGGATGTTGGGTGGATGAAGGTGGTGCCGGAGAGGCACCCTACCTGCTAGTTGCATCGCCCTCTGGTGGTCCCTTATCAACTGAGGTACGGATTCTTGAAGGGCCACCAGCCCCGCTGCTGCCAGCGCGCCTTTCGCCCACCGGCCTTGACACGCCTCACAGCAACACACCAGACAGCACCCTACCTGCTAGTTGCATCGCCCTCTGGTGGTCTCTGATTAACCGGGGAACGGATTCTTGAAGGGCCACCAGTCCTGCTGCAGCCAACACGCCCACCTGCCTCATGCTGCCGCCCAGTGCTTTCCGTAGGCGACGGGCCTTTTAGGGGGATGGGAATGGTGGTGCAATGCAAGAGAGAGGAGGGGAATACAATGGGAAGATCTGGGCTGCTGCAGCCAGCACGCCCACCCGCCTCATGCTAACGCCCAAGGTCTTGCGCAGCTTACGGGAGGATTTTCTTAAGACGACTGCAGATGAACCAGTAGGAGGTCGGCGGGAGATGGCTTGCAGAGACCAGGAGCATTTTGAGTCAACTCAAAAAGTGTATTTTAAAAGTCGAGGTGAACTGTGAGTCAAGGTGTATTGCGAGTTGACTCAAAATACACCTGCTCATGCTGACGCCCAAGGTCTTGTGCAGCTTATGGGAGGATTTTCTTAAGAAGACTGCAGATGAGCCAGTAGGAAGTCGGTGGGAGATGGCTTGCAGAGACCAGGAGGATGTGCCTCACCGGCACCGGAGACTCGATAGCCACTTGTATGCAATGGATCACACAGAAACAGTGCAGTGCAGCAGTGCAGTGCAGTGCAGCAGTGAGGTGAAACAGTGCAGCACGCTTTTGAGTCGACTCAAAAGTCAGCTCGTGCATTTGATAGCCACTTGTATGCAGTGGATGGCACAGAAACAGTGCAGTGCAACAGTGCAGTGCAACAGTGCAGAAGAAACACAGAAAAACAACGCACAGCGAACCTTAACAATGAGCTCTGTGGATCCAACAAACACACTCCCTCCCTGCTGGCGCTCCCACGCATATACGCAACACAGCACGGCACATCACAAGACACAGCACAAGACAGCACCAGAAACAGCTTTTATAGTTGGTCAACGCACCTTAGCAATGAACTCTGTGGAGCCAACAATTACACTCCCAGCTGGCGCTCCCAGCCCTTTAGACAGGCACACCTGCCACAGACACCATCAGCAGCATGCCAGAGGGACACGATATTTCTTTCAGTATATGCAGAACACACCCACAACCGCAGGTGTGTGTTTTGCAGCACACACAGAGGGACACGATCTTTCTTTCAGTCGACTCAAAGCGCTCCCAGCCCTTTAGACAGACACACCTACCTACCAGGCACACCACCCGCAGCACACCAGAGGGACAGGGGACTCCATGCATGCTCTTATAAGCAGCATGGGGCATGACCAGTAGAATCTTGTACTTGTTAATGGGAATGGCCAAAGGGACAAATAGTTTGAACGCGGCAAGTGAAGAACCAGCCAAGTGGGTTCAAAGCCATTCGCAGGCACGCTGCGTGCCGGCCCTTTGAGTCGACTCAACCCAAAAGCGCTGGCACACGCTGAGTGCCGGCCGAACAAGAGGGTCCCCTTCCTCTGGCACCCAAAGCAGCAGCAGAGGGGCAGTTGAAGGATACGTGAGCAACGAGGCACCCGAAGAGTCACCCGAAGAGTCACTCTACTCACAGGTACGCTGTGTGCCGGCCGAGCAAGACGGTTCACTGGCACCCGAAGAGGCAGCGAAAGGGCAGTTGAAAGATATGTGTGCATTGGTTCGATTAGAAGTATGTGAGCAAAGAGGCACCCGAAGAATCACTCTACAATCTACTCACGGACACGCTGTGTGCCGGCCGAACAAGACGGTCCACTGGCACCCGAAGAGCCTGGCATGGGTGGGGGTATGGGTACAGGCAAGATACATGCGTTCAAGCAGAAGGGGGGGATGAAGGTGCAGCATTGATGCATGGGGGATGCGATGTGGTTGGTAGATGGGGTGCATGATGATGGCATGCACGGTAGACATGGTTAAAACGCGATTGCGATTTAAATCGCATAGCGTGGGGGTGCGATTTAACAAAATGTGATGCGATCTAAAAACGCATCGCGAGATTTTTGAATTTATTTTATTTTATTTTTTATCGCACATCGCGTTTTGAGAGCAATTTAAATAAAAACCGCGGGCGATTTTTAATCGCATCGCTTTCCTGCCCGGATTTAAAAAACCCTCCCAAATCGTCCCTGCTATTAAAAAAAAACGGCAGCCTGTACTACTTAATGGCAGCCCGCACTGCTAAACAGCAGCCCGCACTCCAAAACAGAATCCATTTGGCGCGTTTTGGGGCTTTGTTCCCCCCCCCCCCTTGCTGACGCGATTCCGTGTCGCGATGTTTTCGACATCGCGCACGGATTTTTTTTTATCGCAAATCGCAATTTAGTCGCGTTTTTATGTGCGTGATTGAATGTGATTTAATTAAATCGCGCAATAAACAATAAATCGCATTGCGCGATTAACCCAAAAAAAAAAAAAAAAAAAAAAACGCCATCGCAAAACGCGATGCGATGCGATTTTTTATTATTATGTCTAATGCACGGGGTGCATGATGATGGCATATATGGAGTGCGTGAGATCCATGGAAGCATCAAGGCACAGGACGTAGGGTAGGGATGAGCAAAACCAGGTTAATACCCGACCCGACTCGGTTTTGCCATACCCGACCTCGGGTCGGGTATTTTCGGGTCGGGTCCGGGTCGGATAATACCCCCAGGACCATTACCTGGATCCGGCCCTTAATGGCGGGTAATATAATACCCGCCAGGCGGATCCAGGTATACCCGACCTGTTTAAGGTTAAAAGCGGGTATTGCTACCCGCCCATGAAAACATGCCTGAACAACCCCTGTTACCCTCTGTTGCCATTGGTGTGTTTGCCATGGTGGCCTCCTGGGGTGGGCGTCGACAGCGTGGTCTTTAAAAAACAACCTAAACTGGGTCGGGTTGCGTTTTTGCCAGCATGAGAGGGGCGGTACCCGAAGTCGGGTATTCAATACCCGGCGGGTCGGGTACCCGTTACCCGACATGTCGGGTAAGATTTCGGGTAACGGGTATCGAATACCCGCCCGGGTAAACCGGACCCGACCCGCCGGGTAATATTCGGGAATCCTGTAACCCGACCCGCCCTAAAAGCGGATCCGGGTCCGGGTACCTGCCCCGCCTGGGTATTTTGCTAAACCCTAACATAGGGGATGGGATGCATTACAAGATGCATGATATGAGATAGCATGAGATGGGATACATGGTTTCAAACGCATTACACAAGGTCCATGAGATGCGATAGCAGCGAACACCACAGGTGTGTGTAGTATAGCAGCATCACTCAAGGAAGCAACATTGAAAACTTGAGTTCGCACCAGCAGCACATCCGATTCTGCATGGGCTCAATGTCAGACTGTCTGCATTGAGCCCATGTATGTATGTATGGGCTCAATGCACCCAATCATGGATTCTCTGTCAGAATCACCTTTTGAGGCACCTCAAAAGCTATTGTGGGCGCCTCAAAAGCCATTGTGGGCGCCTCAAAAGCCATTGTGGGCGCTTCAAAAGCCATTGTGGGCGCCTCAATAGCCATTGTGGGCGCTTCAAAAGCCATTGTGGCCGCCTCAAAAGCCATTGTCGGCGCCTCAACAATAGCCATTGTGGGCGCCTCAGTAGCCATTGTGGGCGCTTCAAAAACCATTGTGGGCGCCTCAAAAGCCCTTGTGGGCGCCTCAACAATAGCCATTGTGGGCGCCTCAAAAGCCATTGTGGGCACCTCAAAAGCCATTGTGGGCGCTTCAAAAGCCATTGTGGGCGCCTCAATAGCCATTGTGGGCGCCTCAATAGCCATTGTGGGCGCCTCAATAGCTATTGTGGGCGCCTCAATAGCCATTGTGGGCGCTTCAAAAGCCAGCGCATCCCATACTGCATGGGCTCAACCAATGCACTCAAGGCACCCAATAATGGATTCTCTGTCAGACTCTCCGTAGCGGCATTGAATATTCTCACTCCATCAATGTGAAACTTCAATCCATACCACATTTGAATATTAATTGAATATTCTGCACCACTCACCGCAGCAGCGTTGAATATTCTCGCTCCATCGATGTGGAACTTGAGTCCGTACCACGACGCCAGCTCTGCCAACCGCTCCGTGTAGTCGACACTTATGGCACGGCCACCGCACCTGAAGGGGGGGGGCATAGGGGAGACACATACTGTAAGAGGTGAAAGAAATGTTACGTGCCCACGGAACTCTAGGTGCCGCAATAAAGCATCAAATATTGTACAGTGCTGGAGCCGCTGACACAAAGAGTATCGCTGACATCACTGATATTAACAATGTCATGAATGGCGTGAACCCTGATACGAATGACTTTGATGAGGATATGAATGACGACGGTAGGGCTGAAATGACCGACGTTGACACTACCACGTGTACCACGAGCCTAATATGTGGCATGTGAGGTAGGTGAGAGAAATTGGTGAACTAGAACTCAACCTGACCTTCCTCATGTGAGGTAGGTGAGAGAAATTGGTGAACTAGAACTCAACCTGACCTTCCTCATGTGAGGTAGGTGAGAGAAATTGGTGAACTAGAACTCAACCTGACCTTCCTCATGTGAGGTAGGTGAGAGAAATTGGTGAACTAGAACTCAACCTGACCTTCCTCATGTGAGGTAGGTGAGAGAAATGTGTCGAGGTACAACTTATGAGGAAGGCTGGGAAGAAACACAACCTGACCTAGGGTGTGGTCAGATGATGGTAAGGACTAGGAAATGAACCTAAACTGAACCTGAATTGTAACTCAGTCTAAAGTTGGCAGAAAACTAATATAAGCCCACAATACATTGCAGAGCCCAGGGAACTGCCTACTCCAACAACGCGAACGGCATTGACACTGATATGAATGACAGTATGACAAATTCTGGTATGAATGACAACGATGCTGATATGAATGACAAGGATGCTGATATGAATGACAGTATGACAAATTCTGGTATGAATGACAACGATGCTAAGACGGCTCATCAACCCTGATACGAATGACATCAGCCTCACCTATTATGGGTGCTCGCCAGGCATATCAGTCGAGTGACGGGGCAGTGCTCGCCGTGTTGGTTCTTGAGAATTCTAAAAAACCAACTCAACTGTTCTCCACTCATCCACCTCCCTCACCTGTTGTGTGTGTTCTCCAGGCAGATCAGCCGGGTGACGGGGTAGTGCTCGTCGTCCTTCCTGATCGCCAGCTCCACCTTCTTCAAGTCCATCGTGCCGTCCGCTTTGTTCGGCACCGTGCGCGGGTGCACACTGCCGAGCGTCGCCACGCCCCCCTGCTCGTACACGCTGATGTGGGAGTCGGCTCCTAGAATGACCTCGCTGCCCCGCACCTGGGATGGTGGCAGAAGGGGGGAACAGGGGGGGTAGAGAATGAGAGGGTGCACACTGCCGAGCGTCGCCACGCCCCCCTGCTCATACACGCTGATGTGGGAGTCCGCCCCTAGAATGACCTCGCTGCGCCGCACCTAACAGCACAAGGAGGGAGCAGGGCGAGAGGGAGAGGGGGTAAGCAGGTGACTCAGAGGGTGCGCGCCTCCCTAAGTCGCCACCTCCCCCCCTGCTGCTCGTACACGCTGCTGTGGAAATCGGCTCCTAGAATAACCTCGCTGCCCCGCACCTGTGATGGTGGTCGTGTAGGGAGGGAGCAGGCAACCGGGAAGGGGCTGGTGAGAGCGAAGGGATGAGGAATGAGGGGGTGCCGCCGTGCACACTTCCGAGAGTGGGTAAGAGGTCGCCACCCCCCAGGCCAGTGAATGTCGCACCAAATGGTGAGGTATGTGCCGTACCTAGCATAGCACATACCTCACAATGACTTTTGAGGCGCCTCAAAAGTCACCCCCTATCTATGTGCCATACCAAACATAAGCACCTACCTCACGAGCACGCATATGAGGTTCCCCATGGTCCCGGACGGCACGAACAGCCCCGCCTCCTCCCCCATCATCTGCGCCACCTGCCCCTGTCTCTGCGCCCCCCCCCCCCCCCCCCCCCCCCCCCCCCGCCCCCATCCCCCCTCCCTCACTCCCCCTCCCTTCCCTTTTGCACCAAATGGCATATATATTATAAGCACATACCTCGCAATGCACCAAGACGCAGATGAGGTTCCCCATGGTCCCCGACGGCACGAACAGCCCCGCCTCCTTCCCCATCATCTGCGCCACCTGCTTCTGGAGCCTGTCCACCGTCGGATCGACCCCGATGACGTCATCGTCCACCTCAGCGGTCTTCATCGCTTCTCGCATCGCAGCTGTGGGCTTAGTCACCGTGTCGGACCGCAGGTCGACCACTCTCCGCGCCGCGGCTTTAGACAGCTCCGCAACTCCCGCTCCCCCGTGCGCCAATCCCGCCTGCACGAGCCCCCCCTCTTCCGCTGCGCCGCCCGCGGCGCTCCCCCCGCCAGGCGGAAGATCTCCACCGACTCCTGCGCCGATGGGGGGGCCATGCGCGGGTGACTGAGCGGCTGCTCCCGCGGGTGGCCGGATGGCGGATCGTGGCCCTCCGGATGCTGACGTGGACTGCATCTAGAAGATTCTAAGACTGTATCTTATCTTTCTCCTACGGCTACGGTCGCAGCAGGCTGCAAGGTACGGAACGACAATATTTGGAGTAGTGTGCTTCGGACACCGTTTCTACGCGTCGGACGGATATATCGTGCGACGTAACGCGACGCAATGCGAAGCCTCGTTACGTTTCGCGAGACCGCCGGGGCCGAATGACAGGTGTCAGCCCAGAGAGGCTGTTTCCAAGTTGGTTGCGGGGGTGCTGATTGGCGGACGAAGTGCAGGAAGTGAGCGACTTTTTTATTCGGCAAAATCGCTTGCGGGAAACTGACCCAGCTATTTTAGGGCGGGTAACAAATGGTCCTTTTCGCAAGATCACTTCGCGACCCTTGTTGACTACCGTGCTTTACTACTCTTCAGCTTATTTGTACATCACAACAGCCTACCCAACCCATCAGAATGATCTCGTAGAGTTCCGCGCACGGACGCAGCCTCCAACCAAAAAAATTACAGTAGGGACTTGAAATTTATTACTCGCAATTCGCGACCTGCAGGCCAAGGGAAAGGTGACAGCGAGGGCTTGTAATTCGCGACCTGCAGAGCCACCATTTTGTTGGCAAGCCGTAGCTGTACAATACTTCTTTATTTACAATGTAGTATATGTACAATGGTACATCTGAAAAAAGACTAAGAAACCTAGTCTAAGAAGGCACAAATAGAAGAGCTAGCTACAGCGAGACTCGAAGGTCTCAACGGTCTACCCCCAAGTAAGCAAATTCAGCCACCGAAGGAAGAGTCGACTCAGGAGGTGAGCGGTTGGTACCATCGTTGAAACGGGTTTGAGTACGGCGACACATTGTGCGAGCTTGCTCCCGCTGGTGGACCAGAGAAATCCGTTTGTAGAAGTTACTCTCGAAAAGAAGAGGATGTCAACTTATACCTATGTTCTATGTAGAAGTTATAGGCTAGACTAGGTGTGTGCTTCTAGTGAGTACAACCCAACAGGTATATGTTCTAGGTTTCTCCTTCTAGTAATCATGCACGTATTCTAACATGGTATCGAGTAGGTTAGGTCCCCCCGCCCGCTTCCGCCCACGCCCTAGTCTCTCGCCCGCCCTTAGCCGGCCCCCTGGTCGTCGCGTCCGCCCCTAGTCGGCCCCCTGGCCGTCGCGTCCGCCCTTAGCCGGCCCCCTGGCCGTCGCGTCCGCCCCTAGTCGGCCCCCTGGCCGTCGCGTTCGCCCCTAGCCGGCCCCCTGGCCGTCGCGTCCGCCCCTAGTCGGCCCCCTGGTCGTCGCGTCCGCCCCTAGCCGGCCCCCTGGCCGTCGCGTTCGCCCCTAGTCGGCCCCTTGACCGTCGCGTCCGCCCCTAGTCGGCCCCCTAGCCGTCGCGTCTGCCCCTAGCCGGCCCCCTGGCCGTCGCGTTCGCCCCTAGCTAGCCCCCTGGCCGTCGCGTCCGCCCCTAGTCGCCCCCCTGACCGTCGCGTTCGCCCCTAGTTGGCCCCCTGGCCGTCGCGTCCGCCCCTAGTCAGCCCCCTGGCCGTCGCGTCCGCCCCTAGTCGGCCCCCTGGCCGTCGCGTCCGCCCTCAGCTGGCCCCCTGGCCGTCGCGTCCGCCCCTAGTCGGCCCCCTGGCCGTCGCGTCCGCCCCTAGCTGGCCCCTTGGCCGTCGCGTCCGCCCTCAGCCGGCCCCCTGGCCGTTCGCGCCCGCTCCTAGCCGGCCCCCTGGCCGTCGCGCCCGCCCCTAGCTGGCCCCACTGGCGGACGCGCCCGCTCCTAGCTGGCCCCCTGGCCGTCGCGTCCGCCCTCAGCTGGCCCCCTGGCCGTTCGCACCCGCTCCTAGCCGGCCCTCTGGCTGTTCGCGCCCGCCCCTAGCTGGCCCCACTGGCTGTCGCGCCCGCTCCTGGTCGGCCCACTGACCGTCGAGCCCGCTCCTAGCCGACCCCGGCAGCACCTGCCCGGCCTCTTCCTAGCGCCGCCCGGCCTCTCCTACCGCCCGCCAGTCCCAGTGCGCCCGCCCGGCCCCTCCTAGCGCTAGCCCGGCCCTGTCACGCCTGCCCGGTTTTCAGCGCCAGCCCGGCCCCTCCTCCTGCCCGCCTGGCCCCTCCTCGTGCCTGCTCGGCTTGCCGTGCCACCTCGGGCCCCGTGTCCTCTGCTAGCCCACGTCGGGGCGCCCCGCAGCCGCCCTACTGGAGAGTGCTGCCGCCGTGTCCCCGTGCCGCTGTGCTCCTGCCGAGCTGTGAAGCTGTGCCGCTGTGTCGCTGAGGAGCTGTGTCACTGACCCTGCACGATGGCTGACTTCGTGCTCCGCCTGGACGCTGAGGGCCACGCGGTTGACTTCGTCGCCTGGCTCCCCGATCTCCGCCGTCAGCCTACAGGTCAGCGCCAGGATGGACACTCGCTGGTTGTCCATGCTGATGGCTTGCTCCCCCGCCCCCTTGCACCTGCTCCCCTCCCTGGTGACCCCACCTCCGCTGAGAGTGAGGCTTTCTCTACTGCTGCGCTTGCCTGTGCGGTCTGGGACTCACGCGATGTAGTAGCTCAGGTTGCTATCAGTCACGCCCTCCCTGTGTCTGAGCGCTCGCGTTTCGCAACAGTTGATACGGCCAAAGTTTATTTAGACGCTGTTATTGCTCGCTATTCCACACCTGCATCCCCTTCTGCTGGCCGCCTGCTCTTCCCGATGATGTTCCCAGACCTTGCTGCCTTCCCTACTGTCGCAGACTTTGCAACTCACTTGCGTGCCGTAGAGACTCGCTATCGCACTGCCAACACTGCTGCCCAGCTCACTGCGCTCTCCCCCCCCATTCTGTATGACCCTCTGTTTTATCGCCATGCGCCTGCCGGACCGCCTAGCTAGTGCCCGCGACCGCTTCCTTAGCCAGCACCCGGGTGACCTCACACTGACCGCCTTTGTCGACACCCTCACCGAGATCGAGACGCGCCAGCGCACTATCGCACTAATTTCTTGTGCTCGTCGACGACTACACGCGCTACACCACGGTGTTTCCCCTGGAGCGGAAGGCAGATGTGCCCGAAGTTCTTCTCTCGTGGGTTGTGGCTGTGCGTCTTCACCGCGGTCTCCCCGTGTTGTGTCTCCACTCTGACCGTGGCGGAGAGTTCGCTTCTGATCGGCTTGGACAATTCTGTCGTGCGGAGGGCATCACCCAGTCGTACACCTTGCCGGACTCGCCACAGCAGAATGGGGTTGCTGAGCGCCGCATCGGCTTGGTCATGGAGGTGGCTCGTACCTCCATGATCCATGCCGGTGCACCCTATTTTCTGTGGCCGTTCGCCGTTCGCTACGCCGCTCACCAGCTTAACTTGTGGCCACGCTCCCAGCGGGCGCAGGTTTTGCCGACCCTCCTTTGGACCGGGTCCCCCGGTGACGCGTCTGCGTTCCACGTCTGGGGCTGCCTTGCTCATGTTCGTGCCTCTGGCACGGACAAGCTCACTGCCCGCACTGTCCCCAGTGTCTTCCTTGGTTTCCCCCTGGACTCGTCTGACTGGCACTTCTACCACCCGCGGTTTCACCGCTTCCTCCACTCTCGTGACGTCACCTTTGATGAGTCCATCTCCTTCTACCGTCGCTTCCCTCACCGAGGTCTCCCAGTTCCCCCCCCCCCTGTTCCTTGCCCCCTCTCCCCCGGTAGCCCCTCCTCCCCTCCCGCTGCGTCCTGCCCTGTCTGGTGTCTCCCATGTCAGTTGTCCCGGTTGAGGAGTCTGCTGACTCTGGTGGTCCCCCCGCCCCGCCTTTGCCGCGTCCCCCTTCCCTGGTGTCTCCGCCCCCGCTGTCACAGCCACCGCCGTCGTCGCCGCCGCCGTCGCAGCCGCCGCCACCGCCGCCGCTCTTGGCCTCTGGGCGTGCTGGCGCTGAGGAGGCTGTTCGTCCTGCGGCTCCTGGCGTGGTCTGTCCCGGCGGGCCTGGGTGTGCCGCTGGGGCTGGAGAGGGTTCTTGCTCTGGGGGTGTTGGTTCTGGGGGTGCTGCTGTTGGACCAGAAGCGCCCCCCTGGAGAGCCGCCTGTCTTCAAGGCGCGCTACGTGGCCAGAGGCTTCAGTCAGCGCGAGGGGGTTGACTTCTTCCAGACCTTCCCCCCGACCCCGAAGATGACCACTCTTCAGGCGCTGCTACACGTAGCAGCACAGCGCGACTACGAGCTTCACTCCCTCGACTTCTCTACTGCCTTTCTTCAGGGCAGCCTACACGAGCAGGTCTACCTGCGCCGACCACAGGGCTTCACTGGTACCTTCCCCCCTGGGACCCAGTGGCTTCTCTGGCGCCCGGTCTACGGCCTACGTCAGGCTCCTCGCGAGTGGCACGACACGCTGCGTGCCACGTTAGCAGACCCCTCGCTGTTTGTGCGTTCCAACCAGACTCTGTTCTACATCCTTGTCTACGTAGACGACCTGGTCTTTGCTACTGGTGACAGGGACGCACTGGCCTCTGTGAAGGCCGAGCTGCTGAAGAGACACACCTGCACTGACCTTGGAGAGCTGCGTCGCTATCTTAGCCTGCAGATCTCCAGGGACAGAGCGGCCCGCACCATCACTTTGACTCAGTGACACTTGGTGCGCCAGGTCCTTTAGAGGTTTGGTCTTCAGTTCTCCTCCGCACAGCCCACACCTCTACCTGTAGACCATGGGCTCTCTGCTCCAGTTCTTGCGGAGCTAGTAGAGCCTAGTGGACCCTACGCTGAGCTGGTGGGTTGCCTCATATACCTGATGATTTGCACTCGCCCAGATCTCGCATACCCTCTCAGCATTCTGGCTCGCTTTGTGGCCACTGGCAGACACCGGCCACAGCACTGGTCGGCCGCTAAGAGGGTTTTGAGATATCTAGCAAGTACATCGGGCATGTGGTTAGTGCTAGGAGGACGCAGGCCGGTGGTTCTCACTGGGCACACAGACGCTTCTTGGGCAGACGACTCTGAGACTCTCAGGTCATCTCAGGGCTACTGTTTTAGCCTTGGTTCGGGTGCTATCTCTTGGAGATCCACTCGCTCGTCGTCTGTTGCTCAGTCCAGCTGTGTGGCTGAGATCTACGCTGGTGCCATGGCGGCACAGGAGCTCCGCTGGCTGACCTTCTTGCTCACTGACTTAGGTGAGCGGCCTAGCTCTGCCCCGGTCCTGTACGCTGACAACAGGGCCATGATCCTCCTGTGTCAGGAGCCTCGGCTTGAGGGCAGAGCGAAGCATATCCAGCTACGGTACTTCCTCCTGTGCGAGTTTCAGCAGCGTCGCCAGGCCCGTGTAGTTCACTTAGCCTCCGGTGCCAACACAGCTGATATCTTTACTAAGGCGCTTGCGCCTAAAGATCATCAGCGGCACTGTGTACAGCTTGGTCTTGTTCCTGTAGCTTCTGATTTGCTAGGGCCATGATTGTGTACTCTCTACTCTATATACCTGTCTGACTGGCCTTGTGACCTTACCTCCA